CTCAACCTTCAGGCTTCTCATTTCCAGGTAAGCAATGCTTTTGGAATTATCTCTGGAGACTGTGAATCTGCCTTTCACGGACTCTGCATAGTATATTTTTACTAGTTTCACTAATGGATGAAAGCCACTCCAACCCTTTCCCTGGAGCCTGGCAAACCCAGTTCACTTCATAGTCAGTCCAGGAGAATCCAGAGGCTTCACAGGAGAGTCTCATGGAACCCCCTGGCTTCACCTAGCCTTCCCCAGACTCCACCAGCTGAACCTCACACTGGACACCTGTAAACACAGAGAATCCTGGTCAGGAAACTCTCACACATGCTTACTGCTCCTTTCCCTCATGTTAACTCATATACTCCATAGTTCTTATGCTCCATAAATCACCTTTTAAAAAAGCAAAAAGGAAAATACAGCTCAGCCCCAACTTTGGATGAACATGAAAGACACAAAACACTGAAAGAAAAACACGTCATGATTTCACTCACTTGAAGAAGCTAAACATGTTTCTCCTAGGATTGGAAGGAGGCATAGTATTCCCTAGAGACTGGGGAAGGAGGAGGGCAGGGTAGCATGAGTGGGAGAAAATATGCAGTTAGGTAGGACAAGTTCTCTTAGTCTATAATATATTAGTGTAAATATATTCTACAACATTATATTATATACTTGTAAACATTTGAAGCAATCCTTTTGACGTTTCCCAACACAAAAAATGATATAATTCTGAATAAATAGATTTGATGTTTTCCTGAATTTTATCCTTATACTTTGTATTCAGTAATCGAATATTATAACCTATCATTAAAATTATGAAGCTATTTAAACAATTTAACCACAGGACTGGGGATGTAGCTCAGTGGGAGAATTTGCCTTGAATACACAGGGCCCATGATGCAGTAACCTGAAACAGAAAATGAATAAACAAATATACAACAGATCATTGTATCTGGTAAACAGAGACTCCAGACTTGCTTGAAAATCTGGCTTTACATCACACAATTTTTATACTCCATGCAGTGCACAGGACCACTCATTCGCTATGTTTAGCCGAGGTTGGGTTGGAAGTTCCAGGACTGCTCTGTTCTCTGACTGCTCTGTGCTTCTCCAGCGATGCTCCACCCATTAATGGAGACCATCATGGCTCAGGAATATTGCCATGACTCCTGAAAGCTTCCTTCACCTTACAAGTGGATTTCAAGAGAAATGATGGGAGTAGCCATGACTGTTAAAGGCTTTGCCTCTGTTAATATGCAAATTTAATTTGACTAAATACATATTAGGTTTTGGCTTTATGTTCTGTGTGATGAACATCAACAATAAAGTGAAAATTAATAATGGGTTTGGAATCACAGAAAAATGTTGGTTCTTAAACCACATATATTTAAAGTAAGCCATTACAACGCAGTACCATTTATTCAGGTAAAATAAAATATATTCAAATTTCAAATTAAATATATATAAACCACATTATAAAGTGAAAGTGCTGTAATCATAAAAGTCTGACTTTGGTGAATAAAGTATCTGTGATTGTGGTTTCAGCATTTGGTGGAAAGTGAATCCAGCACTCTTCAATGACAAGGAAGGAGAAGAGCATGTCTGCCAAGACAAATACTTAAAAGATTTTCAGTGAGGAAAAAGAAATAAAAATGAATGTTGGGAGAAAATCCTTACTTAATGTGTTGTAGCTTACAAAAAGCAAGCTCTGTCTTGAGTCCTACTGTAAAGAAATAGGATTCCTATGATCACCATTAGGGAGGACTATAGGTCAATTTTCTTCAAATTTCCCAAAATTACAAGCCAGTTTCTATAAGATGAGAATGAAGTTACATCTGTAGCTATACTGTTGTGGAAAATACGTTATTAGGATGGACAGTCTATTAGGAAAACAAAAGGCAAACAGAAGAAAACTACTTCCATTGAATCTTGCATACCTGTCTTTTAGTTGATGTCATGAAATTCTCAAAATTAGCATCTAAAATATGCACTCTTTTGGTAAAAGCTCTTTTGGAGAAAGTAATTATACTGTTTTACATTACCTTAGCAGGTCGCCTTGTGACTAAAAGGTGGCCTGGGGAAAAGAGCTCTTGCTCTGAGAAGAGGGCTGTGTTTGATCAGTGAGTTGGAAGTGAGATAATTATTTGACAAACTGAGAATAAGAATTCAGAGCAGTGTCTCTCCTCCTTTCAAACATCCTGAGGAAAAGATAATGATGTTTCACTGTAAGAGAAATGCCATGGGATTAGCAGTAAGTGTCCATGTGCTAAAACTTGAAATCTCGTATGGACATGTCTCCAAGTCTAGCAGTTAAAAAATATCAACTTATAAAATGTTGAAGCAAACATTTACTTTGCCATACAACCCACAATAAGAAAACTCGTTTTAATGAGCTAGACCATCTGTAAAAGAGAGGCAAAGTTCTCAATGGGGACATGTTTTTCCTTTAGCGCTGTCATCCCTAGAACATTTTGTAATGTCTGAAGATGTTATGTGCCATCAGAACTGCAAGAGAGTGTGGGGATCCTAGTGGGTGGAGGCCAAGCTGGTGATGTTGCTGTGTATCCTGCAGCGCACAGCACAAAGAATTATCTGGCCTAAAGAGTTGGACCAATAATTATTATGAAAAGTGGGAACAGTGAATGTGAAACTCACGTCATAGAGAACTTCGGGATGTCATTATCTGCAACCTTTCTTCAAAGTGCAAGTATTCCCAGCATATTACCCATGTAGAGGGACATTTCTGTTCTTAAAAGATATGTATTAGAATATTGAATCCAAGACTAAGGTAAAATTAATGTATTGATCTTAATTTAAAATGTTATAATTAATAACTACTTAAAGATTTTTTCATAAGAGTCTGGGCAGAACTCTATACATTTTTGATATTCATAATATCCACAAATCTCTACACTTTCGATTTCTACAAAAATCTGAAGGACTGCCCTCTTATTTCAGAGAACTGCAAACATGTTTTCCTGGGTTCTACATTCTGAAAAACAATGAATCTGTAAAGGCTGTGTTCCCCTTCTCTACAATATCCTCCTTTATAAGCTTTGTTTGACGTTTTCATTGTCTTTTGAAAAGACCAATGGTCAACATTTTTCATATTTTGACTAATAAAATACAAATTCACCTTCATCTATCTGATTATTTCTCCTTTGTTGTTGCAATGAACCATTTTTCTACTTTATATCATTCTCTATATGTCTTCTAGGCTATTAAGAAATATCAGTATAGAGACCATGATTTGGAAAACTTTTTCTTCAAAAAACAGGTCATTTATATTTTCGGATTTACAGACCATATTATCTCTGTTGACACTAACTACACTGCTTTATTGCGGAAATCCCTGGACTGTATTTAAATGAATTTGAGTGTGTGTCTTCCAATAAAACTTTATTTACAAACAAAAAAATGTGTCACACAGTGTTAATACAGAGAATAGATTGCACAAGCCATGATTTCTAATAAGCTACTTGATTGATGAACAGAGAGATATAATGAAGGAAATATTATTTGTATACACTAGGAATAAAAAAGATAATTGTAAAAGAAAGGTGATACCTCTTATAGATGTTTCAACTATATCAATTATGTAAAAAGGAATATCTCTGCTCTTAAGACATACATGTTATTGAAACACATGGAAAGGTTGGAAGTTACTTTAAACTTCAGTTTCTCAAAGTGTCACCTCATCCAAATTTGATACATAACAATACTGAAATAGCAATAAATTTTAAACATATATTTATTTTGGAAATATTCAAATTGACTTAGTTTTATGAAAAGAAATAAGCTTCACCTAGCATTATTGTGGAATTTTTAAAAAGGCCAACCACATTCTTGAACAGATCATAATTTCAACATTTGGCAAAGTGTGGGCACTTATATTGAATACAAACATAAGAATAAAAATTGTACATATCTGTCATCATTAGGAATCCTGTCATCATAAATGGGAAACCTAAGAAGTCATCCAAACCTCATCTACTCAACAGCCTTTGTCTTAGGGATTGTAAGGCACTGAGTCATTTTCAGCAAGAATGGAGTTAGAGTCTGTCTCAGCACAGTCTGTCTTCAGGTCATTGAGGCCAGATGGACAGTGCTGCTGTCCAGCTTTGAGGTTCTGGGTGAACCCTGTCTGAACGCTCCCTCCTAGGTCTTTACCTAGGCCACCAATTCTGTTCTAGGACCACACTCATGTACACATTGTCCATGCCAAGCAAGACCAGAGTGAGCACCTCTGCCTCTGCAGACCTGATTGGGGGTGGAGTGTGTGTCTAATTACATTTAGACACACCGTTGAAAGATTCATACATCAAAATTAATTCTGAAAATTTGCATTTCTTTGGATTTTGATCATTTTCAGGTCTTTATTTCAATTAATCAGTCTCACCCTTATTGACATTTGGGGTTAGACAACACCTTTTTTTTAGTACTGGTTTGTGAGTGTAGGATGTATGGCAGTGTGAATTTATTCTAAAACCAAGATGCCAGTAGGGAAGTATAGTCCTTAATAGTAACATTTAAAACTGTCCAGATATTGCCAAAGGACCTCTGGGTGGAAACTTCTGGTGATTTGTGGTCAGAATATCAACATGCACCACACTGTCCACATGAATCCAAGGGAAGGACGCTGGATGGATAATGACTGAGAGGATCTCTGTGGGGGGAAGAGGACACAGAGATCCATCAGAGGGAAGAGGGGAATGATGTCTCATTAAATAATCACAAACACGGCATTCATTGCAACAATGAAGTAAACTTCATTGAAATCTTAGGTTCCCTTTTTCTTCTTGTGAGATTACACCAATATAGGGAAATTCAGCCAAACCTGATCTTTAGAAAAGAAAAAAATGTGATGCTCTGAGGCAGGAATGATATTCAGAGTCATGTTGCACGGTAATTTCAAGAAGGAAATGGGAAAGTGAGAAATCACAGGACCAAAAACAAAAGATCATCCATCTCACTGCACCTGCTCCTGGGGCTGGCTCTGTGCTCAGTGTGTGCTAGCGCCCCCTGTTGTTCCTGACTGCATTGCAGGGAGGTTTGTGTCTGGGCTCACATTGAAGTCCCACCACTGTGTCTCTTGCACAATAATACACGGCTGTGTCCTCAGTTCTCAGGCTGCTCAGTGCTAATATAACCTGGTTCTTGGAAGTGTCCTTACTGATGCTGAGTCGGGATTGAAGTCCTGAGTTATACTGCGTGCTTCCACTAGCCCATATGACACCCATCCATTCCAGGCCATTTCCTGGAGGCTGGCGGACCCAGTAAACACCATAACTGCTTAAAGAGAATCCAGAGACAGTGCAGGTGATGGACAAGGTTTCTGAGGGCTTCACTAGGCCAGGTCCTGACTCCTGAAGTTGCACCTGGGACAGGACACCTGGGGACAAGGAACATCACCATCAGTCAAACACACCAGAAACCCCATGCCCAGGTCCCTCTCCAGAGACCCCTGAGACACTCACAGCAGGGAGCTGCCACCAGGCAGAGGAGCAGCCCCAGGACCTCCATGCTCTCTGAAGGCTTCTGTGAGAAGGAGACTGGGGCTCCTCAGCCAGGCCTGGACTTTCAGCCTGAGCTTGGGGGCTGCTTTGCATGGGGGAGGCTCCAGAGGATAAAAGTGGGGAGAACAGGGACTGGCCTTCCTCAGTGCCTTTCAGGAACAGTGCTTTGTGCAGTGCTCCTTAGAGCATATACGGGCACAAAACAGAGAGGTCCTCACCTCCCTGGATGTCCAATGTCCAGCCTAACAGGAAGTGTGGTGGTGAAGAGTGTAGGTTGTGATGGGCACAGTCCATGTCTGAATTTTGAACATAATGTGTTCACATGATACAGAGGGAAGAGAGCAGGATGTGACATCCTCACTCCATGTCCTAATCTCTGTAACTTCGCATGGATGGTTCACAATGGGACAGTTCAGTGTGTGCAACACTGCCTCCTATTTGGCCTGAGCAAGGCATTTTTAAGATACAGACTAAATTTCCTCGATCATTTATGCAACATTTTCACTGTCCTATATGACTATATATTTACATTAATGAGTTCTTACGGGACCTGCCACCCTACTGGGTTACACTGTGGTTAAAGATTGACACACATTAAAATCAGAGACCAAGTTCAAAGCAAGCAACTATTGCTGTGCTGGTATCTGTGCTGTCCAAAGATATTGGACTGAATTTTGTTATTATAATAATACTATATGTTAAAGGCCAAAACGTTAAAATCTTGCATTCAGCCTGTGGTGGTATTTAGTGGTGGGATCTTTAAGAGGTAGGGCTTAGTGGAAGGAAGTTCATTGTTGTTGTTCCTTTAAAGCTGATGCTGTTGTCCAGGCAATTCCTGACATGACCTCCAAGTACATTTCGTCTTTTCAATGTTCAAAAAAGATGACTTCATTTTAATACCACTAATAAACTTATCAATAGCACCCTCCATGATTCAATATTTACCGTGCTCATTTCCTAGAAAACTACCAGTTTTCTGAATCTTTCCTTTCTGCTCTTATCTCTACTTCTTAATGTAAATATGGCTAAAAGTGTCCAGTAAATTCCCCGAAGACTCCCTGAGTGATGGGCTTCCATAGACTATAAAAATCACTCCACCGTCTTTCAGTTCAGCCTCCCACAAATTCTCGGAAAATGAACAAAATATATACCAGATCTTTTACATAATGGGGCACTGTGTACCTCTTCTCCAATTTTATCTAGAATTCTCTCCTCTGTGAACCCTCGTCACCACTGTAATTAGTGTCCACATTCCTATAAGCATTATGGACTTCTGAGACTGCTCTAGAATCACCACTAACCTCAAACACAGCATGGAAAATCATTTTTTCCTAATTCACCAAACTGGGACCCTAAAATCAGGTATAGTCACACAATAACCCCGGCTCATTCTCCAGTCTTCCTGTGTTTGTCATCTTTCCTTTATGTGAGTCATCACATAAATGATTTTATGCAAAGTTATGGGAAAGAAACAACATAATTACATCAGTGATGTCCCAACATAGTAATAGTTAAATGGAAAAGAAATCAAGAAAATTCCATCTGTAATTTTGTAAGATGTAAAATACTTTGGAGTAAATTAGACAAAGGATGTGTAATATATCTACAATGAAAATAATAAAAAATGCTTGAAAGAAATTGCAGAAGATACAAAGACATATAAGTATGTCATACATTTATGATTCGATTATTTAATATTGATAATATTCATTCTTTAAGATATGATATACAATTTAATGTAATCTTTCAAAATACAAATGACACTAATCAGAATAATTAGTGAAATGTGTGCACACCCACTAAGGACACGGGCAGTGAAGACAATCGTGAGGGAAAAGATAAAAGACAGAGTGATCACCTGACAAAAGCACATGGTATAAAGCTGTGACATGCCTTGCTTATAGGAGGGGTTAGCACTGTGATAATTCATACATGCATACATATTTCTTCAACAAGTTCATCCACATATTTTTAAATATCAGAAAAGTCCCACTCTTGTTATATTTACAGACATCTCAGATACAATTGATCAAGAGAAAACCACTGGAAAAACTATGGACAAACAGGCAGCCTAGACACACAGAACAGCACTTGACACATTTCTGCACCTGCTCCTGAGGCTGAACCAGAGCTCAGCCTGTGCTGAGTGCCCCCTGCTGTTCCCGAGCATCACTGAAGAGAGGTTTATGTCTGAGCTCACAGTGAAATCCCCTCATTGTGTCTCTTGTACAGTAATACACACCAGTGTCATGGGTTCTCAGACTTCTCATTTGGAGATGCAATGTGATCTTCGCATTGTCTCTGAAAATGGTAAATCTGACCTTCATGGAGTCTGGGTAGTTTATGCTACAACCATTGGGATTTATTTCTTCAACCCACCCCAGCCCCTTCCCTGATGCCTGTCAGACCCAACCCGTGCTGGAATAATTGAAGGTGATTCCAGAGGCTGTACAGGAGACTCTCAGAGATCCCCCAGGCTGCATGAAGCCTCCACCAGATTCCACCAGCTGCACCTCTCAATGCACACCTGCAAACACAGAGAGTCATGATCATAAAACTGTCACACCTACCAACCATTCCTCTCACAAATGTCAGCACACACTTAGCCTCTCTTGTTTGCCAAGTCTCAGTGCTTTCAGAACCCACTCAGCAGTTCCCAATCTGAGGGAAGGAGGGGCCTGGGGAAATCATGTAGTTCTCAAGGTTTGTACACAGATTTCTCATTGAGCCTGACAGCTACTGGAGGCCAAGGTCTCTGCCAGTCACAGGCTGGTGCTCTGTTCCACAGTGATCCTCAGGTGAGGGGACTTGCCACTTGCCAAGGAGTGTGTTCAATCTCTACCACACCCTTCAGTGCTGGAATTCCTTGATTTTTAAAGATCTCAGTGGGCCAATGTTAGATCCCTTCACTGTCCACGAGCACCTGTCATGGACATCTCCCAGGCAGACACTGAAGCAAGGTGACAGCTATTGGCATAGATTGTGTCTCCTGAAATTTTTGCCCAGCTGTCCTGAAATGAGTTCCCCTGATCACTGCTTCTCAGGTAGGGAGGATTACAGTTGTGTGCACCCGGTGCCCAGTCACCATTTAATTGTTTTGCCTCATTAATGGAAATCTTGTATCCTTTCATTAACATCCCCTCATCTCCACCGCCACAGGCCTCTTAACCTCCATTTTCTTGAACCTTCCCTGAAATCAGAGTTTTTAGATTCAACATGAAGTGTTATCTTGTGGTATTTGTATTTCAATGCCTGGCTTATTTCTCATAGAACAATTCTAATCCAAATAAAACAGGTTCTTTAAGACTATAAACTATTATGAAGGAAGGATTCCAAACACCCAGAGGCTGTAAGCCATAACAAGGACTGCCACAACAACGTAGGTCTCCAGTGAATTTTTGTCATGTAATACCTTGTAAAAGACATTACTAACACTTAGAGTTTAAATAAAAATCCTACAGGAATACCTGAACAAGGCTCCAAATTGGTAATGGAAAACCAAGATGGTACTAATGCACAAGTGTCACTCTAAATCTCCACTATAAGGCTATATTAAAATCTAAATTATAATGATAGCATATAACTTTACATTAGTTGTTAGATTATATGCTTTGTCAGTATAAAATAAAATGAATTGTATAATGAGAGAATTTATCAAGAAAATATGGAGATTCGAGTACTGTTACCAACATTTGAAATCATTGTTGATCATATTTTCTGTAATTTTTGCATGCTATGTATACTAACATTTTTCATATTTAAAATTTTATAATTTTATGCTTATTTATGTACAGTAACATCTGAGTATTAACATATACATTGTTTCTCTCATGTCCACTCACACATTCAGTATCTCTTCTCCATAAATCATGGTTTGTAATACCAAGAAGTACAACCCAGCTCACCACCAATCCATGGTGAGTGGTCTGTGTTCAGTCCTGACCACTGAATGCAATCAGCTGGGAATCCAGACCTGGACTCCTCTCACAGGGCTGCAGGGTCAGGGCTGGACTTGTATAAATAAGCAGATGGAGACCCTATTTGCATGTCCTCCAGCTAGGTAGTCTGTTTGGCACTGGACACATCAGTGAAGGGAGTCCCTGAACAAAAATTCTGTGCCAAAACAGATCGTTTCAAAAGCCAGCACTCATTTAAGTACGAGTTCTTATGGGATTGTTTGCAATATGCACTTATCCAATTTCTTAATTTATTTTTATACATGAACATAACCTATAATTGATGTAATAGTGGTAATTCTGCCACACAAATGTGAAATTACAAAACAGGCATAAATGTGTCTTTCAGCATGTCCAAGAGCTCCCAGAAGATAGCATGAGGACATGTGGCTATGGTCCTCTCTACCGGACACAACTGCTCACCTGAACAAAGTCCAGGACAGAGCAGAACTGCCATCCTGCTGCTGATGTTGCATTTTTTTCACTATTTCTGATGTGTAGAAATGTTTACATAATTTTTGAATTTCATTCTGTTGATGTGGCTAGCATGTCTATGGAGTTGCTTATATTGAAATTTATTTTCTTTGTTTGGTGTATCCCAATTGATCATCGTGAATAATGTTTTAAATATTCTGTTAAAAGTGGTTTTATGATTGCATTTTTTACTTCTACTCATCAGAGATGTTGGCCTATAGTGTTCTTAAATTTGTAGAGGTGTACAATTTTGGTGTCAGGGTGGTCAGATAGTATGAGTTTGGAAGAATTTCTGTCCTGTCAGTGTAAATGGTTGAGGAGGGAGATATTTCCTCCATAAGTTAAATATTACACAATGGACACACTTGCCAAAATATCACCAAGTACATAGTAAATAAGTACAATGCTTATGTTTTGCTCTGTTGATTGAAATAAATTTAAATGAAAGCTAAAGATTTTGTAAGTCTGGGAAAAATTTGCACTATTCATTAAATGTGTAGTGAAGTTCAGTATTTATCTTTGGTTCCTGAAGTTTTCTTGTTGTGAGATGTTTCATTTCTGATTCAGTAACATTGCTCATTATTACTGTGT